CTGACTCCTAGGAGATGAACTAATATTGTGCATCATTCCATTAGTTTTTAAACATGCATGCATTATTATTTTAAATAAGGCTATAGAACCCTGAGCGTTCCTTATAATTGACAGTGTGCATGCTTCTTGGAGCAAAGGTGCTAATGCAAAGTGTTTTTGTTGGAGCTCCTGGTTTGCCGAATGGAAGACCATGGAACCTGAGATCCTTGCCTCTAGCCAGGCGCAGACTTGCCATCAGGTCTTTATCCACTTGGAATGGGACGCAAGCAGCCAGACAGCAGGCACTTGGACCATAGGAAGGCATGGGACTAACCTTCTGTAATATTAACTCACCTTGGGTGAAACATTTGAAAATATGCCTGTGCTCAGGACTTGACAGTAGTGAACAGGAGGAAAAGGGCAGCTGGAAGATTATGAATAGTATATTTTACTGTAGCAATTTAGAATTCTTTAGTGTTGGGTATTTTGACTTAGTCTTGTAATATTTCTTTAAATTCATATAAAATCGTTGCTTCAGAATGTTTTTCTTTACTTTGATTCTCTCCTGTGAAGAAGGAAGAGGCAGGACATGACCTCCCTTTTCCTGACATCACGAAAACTCCCTAAAAAAATACACACACATACACATGCGCGTACACACACACACACACGCACATAAACAAGAAGTGCTTTTGATTTCACAAGGCTTTAGAGTGATCCTACCTCATGTTTCCTCCTTACTAGTTTGTGCATGCTCAGAAACAGCAAAACTGCCCCTTCACTACCAGCAAGAGACTTTTAACCACAAGTTCTTATATGTAACCTCTGTTCCCGTTCATTGGGACTTACTTAGCTGGTTAGAGGAATCATGGATTCTAAGGGTATAATGACTAGGTGCAGGCAGAGCTCAGAGTGGTGAGTGATCCCAACTTGGACAAGTGGGCACAGGGATTTTCTGCGTGTCAGGGACTTGTCCGTGAAAATCAGTGGAGGCACTTGTCATATACAGTCATTAACTTAGTCAAATGATGTGGGTAGGAAGTAAATTTTTGATTGAATAGTGGAACCTGTAAAATGATTATGAATTTCTTAGGTGAAAGGATGAGAGTAGGAAAATAAGGTTGTTTTTCTATTCTATATTTAGTTTGACTAAAAAGGATTTTTAGATAACTCCCAATGTTTGCCCTTCTGATTTGAGTATAGGTTTTTCCCATCAAAGATTGATGTGATCGTCCCTACCCTGTTTAGTAGACCCAAGAGGAGAGAAGAAGCAGGTAGCTCTCCTGGAGTGTGCAGGGGACCCAGTTCCTTCCCTCAAACAGCAGTAGATTGGTGTGTAATGATACCTGTGATGTCACAGGTAGCGCCAGTAATAATTAGCTCTCAGCATGGATCGCTTCTCTCCAGGGAAGTTGGGCTTTGGGTCACATATGGGCTTCCCTGATTGAGATGTCGAAGTTAAAATAGAGAGTTATGGTTACCAGGAGCAAAAGGGTTGTTGGTGTTTGCCAGGAATTAATGCTAGAAAATTGTGACCATTGTAGCAGTGACTATGTTTGAAGAGTATGGTCAAAGGAAGTGGAGTCCTGGGAAGTAAAAGCCTGGGGTGAGGAGATTTCTAAATGTTTAGGTAATTCTGAAAGTATGATTTTTATTGGCCAGGACACAATACACTGTGTTTGCTTTTGAGAACAGTGGTCTAGTCTGAGGCTTGCTGTTGTATATGGGCACATTCTGTCCATCTG